ATTTGTGTTTCTTTCTTATCTCTAGACAAAACATTTCAGCAGCAAGAAAGAATCGTCTCCTATAGCACTAATTAGAAACGTAAATCTCACTGAGAGAAATGCCAAGAAATTTTATTGTTTGTCACTATACATGGTAATAGAATTTTCTGACATTTTATTCCTCTAGAAAAATGTAACATCTTTAATAAACCACTGTACAAAGTAGAGATTCTAATTTTAGCATATCATAACAGAGATTACAAAACAGAAAACATGCAAAGCCTTAAGACAAGTAGCTAAAAACAAATTCATTCTCAGAATTATCAGCGGGAATAAAAAGTTCTCATTGATATCAGAATAATTACAAAATCTTGGGTTGTCAATTGCATGTTCCACATGGCAAAATCGAAAATATATCCATACTCTGAATAACACTAAACCCAACAGAGATTGTTTACAAACCTTTCAAATGTACCTACTTTGATATGAAATTACAGGCTGCTGCTCTGTAAATGGCTGGTAAATCATTTTCAGATTTTTTTTTAAAGTAAGGTGTCTATAAAGTTGTAAAAATGTACCTTATAAATATTGCCCTGCCCCAATCCAAGTGAGGTTTTTTATTGCTCTGTGTGTGTGTGTGTGTGTGTGTGTGTGTGTGTACCCATACTGTGACTGCCTCGCTTCTACTAGAAAATTATTTACTTATTATCAAATAATATGAAAACCATATCACAGTTCATGCTACACTAAGGATAAGTATCTTGTAATGATAATGCCCAGCACATAAGAAACTATGCCTCACTGATGAATGGCTGTTCCTTGACCTTCCCACCTGTCACACATTTCTTTGGAAGCATCACTTGAACAATTATATGAGCTTAGAAAAATATATTCTCAGGCATCAAAAATCCCTAAGTCCTCTTTATTAAGAAATTATCAATTCTGAACAAGCAAACCAAAAACAGAAAAGAAGACTTAGGAAAACCCCAAAAGTCAGCCAAACCAACATGGTAACTAGAGTTACTCCTCTTTTTCTACAAATATTTTAATTGCTGCAGACAAGACTATCTATATTCTACAGTAGCAAGCACCCTAACTCCCTCAGGGAATGTTTAGCCAAGAGTCCAAGCAGGCACATCAGATGTCCAGCCACAAAAGCAGCAGATTGGAATATGTGCATTTTTATTCCCCTCTATACAAGCAATATGGCTATGTGACTAATTTTAAGATTCTGATCATCTGAAAAGCATTCCAAAGTGCTATGTCTTATCAATGGTTGACAACTCATAAACACAAAGTAACAGAAGCCTGAAAATTGTCTCTCAGAATCAGCAGAGCAAGTGTATAGATGGACCAGAGTAAAACTGTATTGATAAAATCTTCTACGACATTATATAAAAGGGAATTAAAACTTACCAAAACATATTTTCATCAAAAAAACAATTCTAAGAAACCATGGCATGATGTTATTAATTCTTTTCAAAAAAAACCATTTGTCCTTATGACAATTCATTATATTTATATAGCTTTTTAAAACCACACGGAAAGTACTTATTTCAGTCTGGCTTCTCCAAATAGAATTTAATCATATACTACAGATTTCATCAATAACATGAAGAAGATACACAGAACATAATATAGAAAAGTTGTCCTCTTTTTATCATGTCTTCATGAAAAGTATGTAATTTAAAGTGTCACTTGAAGAAGAGATAGCATACAGTGTCAAGAATCTCAGCTCAGTCAAACAAATTAACAATATCACATATACTGAACACATTAAAATACTCATATCAGTATTGCCAAATTATTGGTGCATTTTTTTATTCTAAGTTACAAATTTAAAATAGCATAACTTACAGTGTTTGAAAACAAGTAACAGTATAATAACCTTACTTGTTCACAGATAATCGGCTGGAGACTACCAGCATGCATATATTTAATTGAGACTCCCGCAAAACTGTTAGATTCTTTTTGATAAAACAAACAAACTATTGAAAGGATGAAAAATATAACATGTAATGTTGAAAAGAAGTTCTAATTCTAAATGCAAGCCAAAGTCACTGCTAAGCAGCAACAAATTAACATCTCGAGAAAGATTATTTACTCAACAAATAATTACTGACTGACTGCCAAGTGCCAGGAGTGTTAGGTGCCCTGCCCTTAAAGAGCTCACAGACCATTGGGAAAACATACAAGGACAAAATTATAGTGCAGTAAAGTAAAAGCTACAGGAACTCTATCTGACATATAGAATAAAGGATCCCTAGGGTACCTGAAACAAATAGCATTACTTTAAAGCCATGTTAAGAATGATGATGAATTAAAAACCCAACCCTGCCTTTTCTAGAATGCTAGGTACAGTGGTGGACTGTCTGGGGGAAAACTATTATTAATATGATCTCTCACCAATAGAGAAGAGTCCACCAGAAGGTCATGGCCACATTAGTAACTTTCATAGTCACTCCCCTACATTTATCCAAGCATATCACAAACCTGCATTGCTTGAAAAATATACCATTAATAAATACTTAGAAATTAAACAGCTGCATTTGAACTTATGATGATGAGGTTTCTAAATGTAACTCAAGAAAAATAGGTACAGTTATACTTCAATTACTCAACTGCCTTAAATACTTGGAAAATATTTAAGAATGTGGAAAGTAGCAAAACAGTATACTGAATAGGCAAAATAAATCTCGGAATCTGCTCCCTAAAACATAGTAACATGTAGGAAAGCCCAAAACTCATTCAAAATCTATATACTTTTACTTTAGAGAGGTTCCTAATAAGCAAACAAGAACTAGAAAAGACGGAAGAGTGGTCACAGATATACCAGCCATAAGTAACAGGTCCCCACTGACAGCAGGAGGAGATTTAAAGAAATTCAGAAGTGAAAACATAAAATGCATAGTTTGAGGCCCTTCAATGCACAGCTGATTTTACAGAATAGAACTTAAATGGAACTATCATCTCTTTCTTTGCCTGTTCAACTTGTGAATTCCTTGCAGGTACTACTGTTCTATACTCCTTAAAGAAGCTGTTTTTTTATTTTTGTTAACCACAACTACGTATGCTTAAAACCCGTCAATATACCATTCTGGGAAGACTGGCATTTTGAAAAATTTAAAATAATGCTGTTACAAAAAGGGTAATTAAAATGCTGTTCAAAGCCGTGGTACAGGAATTTTGTATCTCAAGGTATGTAACAACTGATAGCAGCATAGTAACTCTTGTGGAGAAAAATGTCGTAATGGACAAATTTCAAATGTCTGCTTATAGGATCTGCTTTTTCTGTCTGCACTGGCAGATTCTTCTGGCACAGAGCCCACATTCAAAATGAGTTGATATCCTTAGATTTTTACCTCCTTTTTTCTTCTGGCTTTTTGCACAAACATTTTCATTGTTTTCTAAATTGCACAAATATTTTCAGGGTTTTTGACAGGAGGCAAGGAGAAAATTCATTTCCAGGTGTCCCTATTTTGTTCTCTAACTCCTTATACTGACATCTGGCTTAGAAGAACGGGATTTCCTCTAACAGAGCTGTAGGGCTCTGTCAGCAACTTCCCTGCCCATTGCTGCCTCCACTATGTGGGAGAACGATTATTGCAAACACAGTGTAGTTATATTATCTCGGGCTGTTTCTTCAGAACAAGCAGAAAAAGCATCTAAAATAGAAATGAAATTCTGAGCCTAGGTGTCTTATATATCCATTAAATTGTGATGTTCATGGATTGAATTTCCAAAGATACATTTTAAACAGGTAGAGGTTGATATTACCCACACTTCACAATTACAGGAGTTGTAGGTAATACTCATTTTCTAGGAAAAGCTGGCCCTAGAAGGATATCCATTTTTCTCATCAGTAATATCTCAGCATCAGTCAAAACATTCAAAGGGTAGCTCAGCAGGTTTAATTTTCACTGAGTTACAACTACTGCATGCTCAGTGGTTTGCAGGTGGACAACTTCATACAAAAAAATTCACTATGTAGCACCGATGACAACATACACATATCTGACAACTCTACGGTTATTTTATTCTCTAACAAACTTTTTACTCCTTGAGTAATATCATATATATAGCCCTAAACTGCTTACTACAGCCAAAACTGTAAAGTTAATAAAAAAAGGATTGTCACAAATAAAATGTGGTATATCCATACAACGGAATGTTATTTGGCAACAAAACGGTAATGAAGCACTGATTCATGCCACAATGCTGATGAACCCTGATGAACCCTGCTCTGTGAAAGAAACCAGTCTCAAAAGGATACATAATGTATAATTCCACTTATATGAAATGTCCAGAATAGGCAAATTCATAGACACAAAAAGTAGATTAGCAGTTACCAGGGGCTGGGGGAATAGGGAATGACCGCTAATGGATATTGGAGTTTCATTTTAGGGTGATGAATGTGTACCGAAACTAGAAAATGGTGATAATTGCGTAACTTTGTGAATATACTAAAACCCACTGAATTGTACATTTAAAAGGGTGAATTTTATGCTGTATAATATCTCAATAAAACTTTTTTTTTTTAAAGGCTTGAAAGCTAATTAACGACACTCCAAGTAGAGGAGTTCTAAACTTAAGAGGACTAAATTTTCAACCACATTCACTAGCACTTTGAATTTCATCAGCGTGAGCTCATCTTTATATCCTGGGATCTATCTATTAAGCCTGTAAAAGTGTTTCTCTTTCACTATTCACTTTTGGAAACACAATCTCCTTTCACAAGAAAGAGAAAGAGGAGCGACTCCAATAAGTGGCCAATTCACATAGTGCTGTTCTTTGTTAATGAAGTACCTTCTATAACAACCTGTCTAATGTAATTTATGAAGCAACACGCAGTTCCAAGGAAATCTTGGGTCATCCAAGTATGTGGCAGTCACAAAAGAATTTGTAGGTATTTACTTAACTCACAATCAGCGACAATATCAACATCTAAATACATCTATTGCTTTGAAATTAGTGGCAATTACTAATCAATGAAAACAGGAAATGTAAATATAAATACTGACCTTGTTTCTTTTAACCCTTCTTTCTGAATGACTTCCAATATCTGCTTTGCTGTCATTGGTGAGTTGGGGTGTTTTTCTAGTGCCTAAAAAATAAAAATAAACATAAGATTCATAGATTATTGCACAGAAACATACAAAATGAAACTGTGTATGAATCATGCAATGTTTCCTTAAAATTTTAAAGGGTAAGGGGCTGTTATATCAAAATAAGGTCCTATCACACAGCTCAAGTGTCCAAAGTAAGAACGTAACATAATTTTTTTTCTGGACATTTATGGAAATTTCTGCAACATATAGGGGCCATCCTTCAAAAACTGTCACAAAGGTGTATACACCAAAAAATGAAACATGAAGCCTAAAAAAACAAGTTAATAAATGTACATAATTTCCTTTACTAAAAATTACTAATATTTTATGCTTTCAGGCTGTTAAAATGTTTCCTAAATTTCCAGGACCTTGGAAACATGGAGCCTGAATAGTACCAATAGCAGAGAACAAAATGCTTGTCAAAAATAACTTCACTGGATTTATATTTTGATCAGCCTCTTTTATATTAAAAATAAAATGAGAAAAAATACTTTGTGGCTAAAATGGAAAGAAGCATACAGAAACCCAAGGCTCATTACAGTACGTTTTCCAGTTCAGCTCAGTTTCCTTTCTTTTGCCTTTTCCAATTAATTTCAAGTAAACCCCTTCCTCTTCCCATTCAGCCCATCTCAGTTTTATAAACTGAATCCCATTTTCTTCCTCTCCCCTTCTGTCCTACTAATTTTTGAGTAGAAGGGAGTTCTTTTAAACAAAGTGTTAGGAATACATGGGACATAATGATACAAGGGACATAGTTAATTCCACAGGCATTAGACCATCAGCCCTGGAAATCAAGTTCCTTTATTTATCCAGAGACTTAACTAGACGTATTGAAAGCAGTAAATAGCAGTGTCCACACTGCTCACCAACCTGAACTACAGGGACCACCTTTGAGAACAAAAGACAAGTCTACACACATCTTCACAATGACTCCCTCCTAGGGCAGACAACACCTACTTAAAGATGCTGTACAGGAGCTTCTGCACAAGTCATGGCCCCACACAACTTAAAGATTCTAGAGTTCTATTTTGTGATTATCTACCAGAAGGATCACAATTATTAAGAATTAATAGGGTACCCTAAAAACTAAAATGGAAAAGGCTTCCACATATGTTCAAAAGAGCTCTGTGATCTCTCCTACTATCCATGGCCAAATTTCAACTGGGTCACTAGCAAAGGTTCATCAAGTTCCTCCAATGAGTTACATACAGCTAGCCCCATCTCACCATTAGGGCCACTTTCTTCTTGTCCCCTGTCTAGTTCCCAGGAAATTTCCCCACTTTTCCCAGTTTGGATCAGTCCCTTAGTCGTACTTGGTAAGTTCGTTAAAGAATGTAAAAATGCAAGCAACATTAGAAAGAGGGCATGGCAAAAAGTATATCATTCGGAAAGAAGGAAACTTGTCCTCACAGAGGACACTGGAGAGCCGAACTTAAAACTGGGAAAGGGGGAAAAAGAAACATAGGCATAGCTGTACAGGGAAGAGGACTAAAGTGTAAAAATATTGGTTTAAAAAAAGGCAAGAAGGAAACTGCATAATAGAGCTGAAAGGGGGAAAGATTAAATCACAAAGAAGGGAGGAAAAGAAATAGACATGAGAAAAAAAAAGCTGACAGAACTTTTAAAATAAGAACTGTAAGTAGAGCAGTACATTCTCATGAATTACTGAAAGGAGATGCTATGGCCACTTGGACCATATATAGGGTGGGCATCACCCCCAAATGATAGGCAATGCTGGGGACACTGATGGTCTCTCAGAAAAGATATGGGCAGAAGGTCAATAGACACAGACATACACAAGTAAGCAAGCAAGGAAAGGGAGAACTGGAGGGGAGAGGCACAGGATGGCGGAAAGAAGGGGACAGAGGAGAAAGGACAGGAGGAAAATTGAGCTGAACTGGGAATGTCCAAAAGGCAAACTGATTAAATCCAGAAAGGGCCGAAGCGGTAACTTCAGTGTACTAGGCAACGTATTAACAGAAATTTGGGTGCACTCGAAAGTGGGGTTACTCACTGTGGAGGATTCCCTGTTTCTCTTCCTGAGTACAGGCCCCTCAGCACACCTGGGCAGCTCCTCCCAGCAATTGAGAGAATTTGGATAGCCCTGTCCCCTTCTCTATGACATCACATCCTACTCTACAAAGGAAGTAAAAGTGCCAAGAATTACATCATGAAGTGGATGAGAGGTAGGAAGGAAATGAAGCCACACAAAACACCAGAAGCCACCCTCAGTTCCTGAAAGACAGAGAAAGGAGACAGAGGAGAGGTTCCTGGGTGTGAACAAGCTTCGCTGAACTAGCTGTGTGAACATTAATAGAACAAAAGATAGAGAGAAATTACCTTCACAGAACAAACATTGATACCATCAAAATAATGTGACACATGTAGAGACATGAATCAGACTCTCAGGCAGCCATACTCAAACACTACAGTGAAAGAAGCGGCAGTCAGAGTGAAATGGTGTCCTAAGTCACCAGGTCCAAATGTTAGCTTGAGTAACTGCCCATTGCCCCAACAATCTCTTGGCTCTGAGGTATTACAGTTTCATATGTCCTGTAAAATTACACTTTCTGGATTATCCTTCATGACATTTTCAAATACAACTAGTATTTGACTATGTTTTCATGGTTATGTCATACTTATTTTGAATTTAACATGTTCCTCTGATTGTTTTCCGTCTTGTAACTACCTCTTTAAATGCTGAGGTCAAAGTCGCAATAGAGCAGGGATGGGAGTAAGATCAGCCACAATTTTTAAGACTATTTATCACAATAAGATTTTTCCACAAATAGGTCCAATGACTATTTCAGATAATCAAAACAGGTTCAGACTGGCTTGGGCAATAATAATGTAATTGTGACAAAATAGGAAATCCAATTTTAAAGTTTGCCATGGATAATTACTGAAAATAATCTTGCTTTCTGATAGCAAAAATTAGAAAAATACAACTCACACCCATATTATAGAAAACAAAATGCACCCACAAGCCTATAACCAAGAATATTAACCACTGCTAATATTTGTGTTTCCCTTCTAGTTTTTTTTATTCACACACATTATTTTTAATATAATTTTACAAAGTATGTGTATATGTTATTAGTTGTCTTTTCTCTATGTAATCTGAATTCTTCAAAATGGGCATCATGATTAACATATCACTAAGGACAGGCATTTTAATCATTTTAAAAATTCAATTAATAAACATAAATTTCCAAAGAATACATTGAATGAAACATTCTTAGAACATCATTGAGTCAAAGAATCTAAGTTCCATCATGTCTCTTGACACACTGCCAACTGTTTCCAGAAAGATTTTAACAGTTTATATTCTCAGAACTCAATCTGCCTCCTTCACCACAACTTTACCAGTGTTAAGCATTAACTTTTTGTAATAATTACCAACTTAGTAGGTCAACTAACAGGTAATTCTTTGTTCTTTTTATTATACTTCTGTAAACACTAATGAGGATAAAGGTTTTTTCAAATGACTCTTATGGAATAGGATTTAGTACTTGGGATATGTCTGTTTTTCTTATTAATGTGTAAAAAACTTTATAAAATAAGAATAATATTAATTACTTTCATATTAATAATACATATTCATTTCTTTTGTTGCTTATTTTTTGGATATTTTTGGGTGACGTGAAGTTTTCTATTTTCATATTAACAACTGCATCAGATTTTTCCATTGTTACTTCTACTGCTCTTATGTTTAGAAATTCCCTTAACCCAAGAGGCATGCAAATATCTAAAAATATTTCTTTCAAGTTGTTTTATGTTTTTATATTTAAATTCATCTGTAATTTATCTTTTTGTACTAAGGCAATGCACTAACTGATGCACTTCCTATTAATAAGTGGAGAGTCTCCAACATAATTTGTTTCTTAAGCTCATCATGGTTAGTGAGATATCCTCCACCACATATTAACATTAGGGCAATGAAAACTCTTTTGGATGTAAAACCAACATATAAATGTGGGAACCCAATATACAAAATGCACAAAAGCAGAGCTGCTTTTGCTGAGGTGGAAACAGGAGAGCTTAGAGCCCCCATACTTACTCCCTCCAATGGCTAAAGGAACTTCTGGGAATTTTCAGAGTTTCTCAAATAAACTGCAAACCACTGTCCTTGGGGCTGATCCAGGGGTCCTGCTATGTTCTCCTGATCTTTCGATCAATTGTTGTGCCAGCACCACACTGTTTTAAATTGCTGTCACAATACATTTTACTATCTGGATAAGACAGTCCTCTCATTATTCCTTCTTAAATTTTTAATTGTTCACTTCTTTATATTTCCAGATGAAATTCAGATTAGAATTAAATGAGACATTTAATTAAATTTTAAAGAAATTTACACACATCGTTCCATGTGTTTAAGTTTCATTTTACAAACTGTATTAAGCTTTTTAGGGTTTTATGTTTTCAGTTGCAACTATGAATACACTTTTTCAGATAATATTCTCACATTTTATTGCTAATATATACAAAATTCATTGAATTGTGATTATTATTATTCTATGAACAGCTAACTGAATACTTAATAGTACCAACAGTATAAAATTACAGTCATATTTTCAACAAGTAATGTGAATTGTGTCTCTTTTTCAATAGCTGTTTTCTCTTTCCTAAATTATTTACTTTGGATAAAAACTGATCTTTTCTAGTCCCTGTCAAAAATTTTTTGCTGAAAACTGAGCTGCTTTATAATTTATTTCCTCAAAAATAGACCCCTAAAACCACCAAGTTTCCCTAAGAATATCTGCAGCTAGAATTAGTAGAGCTAGCACTGCTAAGAACAGGCTGTAATCGGAAACCACTGGCCAGATATCACTGTCTTTTCTACACAAATCAGTCTGTCGCAGTGTTCAATCTTCACATAAAATGTTCTATCTTTCTTTGTAAAACAAATTGTTCTCCTGTGTTAGAGCTATATTTGTGATTCCACTTCACTCTCACTCCCAAGGAGTTGTGTCTTGCACCTCTCACACTT